TAGTATCAGTATATCATCAGTTAATGTAAAAATTAATTCAACCTTTTTGGCAGACTTTGGGCAGTATCTATCATAGTTTAATATACACATTACTTATATGTATATATTAAATATACCTAATTAAATTAATAAATTTACAGATATTAATATTTATTATAAATATACTTATATATATTTATAAATACATATTATATTCATATTTACATGTAAAATATATAAATACATAAGATAAATTTAATAATTAAATTAATATATTAATTTATTATATATTACACATATATTTGATATATACATATATACATACATTTATATGTATATATTAAATATATATATATTTAATACACACACACACACACCATTGCTCTACCTATTAAACTTCCAGAATTTACCTTAGAGGTATACTCACAAATGTGCTCAGTATCACATGTACATTTTTTTGGTTTTTTTTTTTTGTAAGAGAAAACATGTTGGTAAGAGAAACTGGTTTAATAAATGTGAAATATGGAGGAAATGAAATGTTATATGTCATTAAAAATGAGAAGGCAGCTTGGATTGAGTGTGGAGATGAATATTCCAAGAAGTGAGAAATAAGGGTACAGAGTTAAGAGTGCTATGATTTGTTTAAAAATGTGTGTTTGTAAGCACATAAAATATCCATGGAAGAGGAGATATTCCAGGAAGATGGCTGGATAACTGAGAGACAGACACAGGAAGGCAATTACTTTTAACTGCACACCATTTTATACCTTGTGCATTTTATACCATATGTATATATTATCTGTTCCAAAATTAATTGCTTTTTAAAACAGCTTTTATTTCTTATCTCCTTTTCTTCTTCCATTCACCAGAAAATCCTGGCTCTTCCCACACAACGTTGCCACATTAGCACAGTCTCAGCTCACTCCCCTTTCTCCCTTTATTATGTGCCTAAATAAATAACTGTCCACAAAATGAGCAATAGGAATGTGGGACAAAGCACCTCATATCACAGAACAATACTAGTAAAACATCAAAACATGTGTATTTGGAAAAGAGCTGAAAAACTAAAACAACTAAACACTGTTACAATGTTTATCTTGGGTGGGAGGTTAACAGGTAATTTTGGTTTTATCTTGGTATTTTCTGTGATTGCCAAAGTTTATATATATATATATTACTTTTTTTTAAAGATTTTATTTATTTATTTGACAGAGAGAGAGACTGAGCAAGAGAGCACAAGCTCTCTCTGGGGGGGGGGCAGAGGCAGAGGGAGAAGCAGGCTCCCCACCGAGCAGGGAGCCCAATGTGGGATTCGATCCCAGGACCCCGGGATCATGACCTGAGCCAAAGGCAGATGCTTAACTGACTGAGCCACACAGGCGCCCCAATATGTATTACTTTTATAATCATTTTTAATTTTTAAAAAAACTTTTTGCTACTCACCTGGTTCCTGTCCCTGGCATTTGCATATCGAAACCTCTGGATATAATAAAAGACCAGCCATGCGAGGGATATGATCATCAGGACGATGAAAGAGATGGAGACAAACACAACCGACGTGCGGCTCACGTATTTCTGCAAGTTCCGGGTTCCAATGGTGATGTACATGGTCACTGTGATGTTCCTTTCCAGCAGGCTTACTATCTCCTTTCCTTTTGGCTCAGGAATCATTATTGCCACAATGTCTTCTACACCTGTTGTGATGGGGCAAGGAGGGGTAACAAGGATAAGGGAGAAGAGAGAGAAGCAGAAAGTCATAGTGAAACGTCTAGACAAAGTGAGGCATAGCCAAATAATGACCCTACTTTTGACAATTCTATGCCAGACCTAATAGCCAGCTCTAATTCTAAGATAGAAGAGCCAGAAACTGAGTCAAATGCTCAACCTCCTTCAGCTACCTTGTATATGAGAAAAGAACCTAAATTGAATTCATGACCCTTCCCACCTAGCAGTTTACATTTCTCTGGGGCACTTCACAGACCCCCAAGGAGGGCAAGCGGCACCTTCTACCCCCTGGGAGAAGCATAAGATGCCCAATTCTGTGCCGCCCGTCTGCGGACCCTCCTTCCCGCTCACGACACCAGGAATCCTCAAATACAGATCTCTATCATTTCTAAGGCAATTTTCTCCTACACTGAGTACCCAAAGTAACGCCAAATGGGTTTCTTGACAGGCTCTAATGATTTGTAAACATTCATATCATAGGCCTCAGAACTATTTCCTGCTTATTTTATCTAATTCAATGCAAACAGCTTGGGTCTCCTCATACTCAGCAAAGAGAGAAGATGGAGACTGCACAATTTCAAAATTGTTTGACTTCAGCTTTCAAATATTCCTACCCCCATGCCCATTATTGGACAGTATGCAGCCAAAGTAGAAATTTTGGGGGGGTCTGAGTTACCTTGGGTCATTGTCCCCATCCTTTATGACACCATGGGAGGCACAGCCTCTACAGGGACTCTTTAGTAAGGGTATGATACCAGCTCCAAAATGACCAACTCAATATGCCACCGTGGCTGATACTTGAACTAGAATATAGATTTCAGTTTCACCCGGGTAGGTCCTCTGGTTATCACCCCAATTCATGCCCACAAAGCTCTTCGTGAGCCCTACTTCCATATGGAAATAGCCCATCACCTGGGGTCACTGCAAATCAAAGGGAGCAAATTTGCAATTAGGATGTTGCAGATTCAAGGCAAAATTAAACATGGCTATAGCTGCTTCAGGCTGGCCTCATTCATGTGCTGAGCTCAGTCAGCTGGATGGAACTACCAGATTACATTTGCTCTGAGTGCTGCAAGCTCGTAGAGGCTACTTAGGGCTTTCACTTGACCTTGATCTCTATGCAAGTTTTCAATCCTAAATTCCTTGCTAGTATTTCACTGAATAAAAATACTTGAAAAGCTAACTACATACCAAGGTATCTGTGTGCGCTACATCAGTTACGTATTTTTAAAAATTCCTAAAACTTTTGTATTGGCCCAACTGTAAAATCACAAAGCCATAGAGTATTTAGATTTGGCTGTTATTCCTGGAATTACTGAAACTGATGGCTTGAATTTCAATTTTGCAGAATTTCCTGACAATTCTGATGCTCCTTCTCTTTTCATGTTTACTTTGGCTAATGGCTGCTTGTGGTCTGAGGTTTTTTTGAGGGATTAAGGCTATTGACAGGTTTTGTCTCTACAGAAATATGATCTTCTGTGTATACTAGACTAATATGGCCCGGGGAGGCTCATCCCAGGGCTGTAGCTATTTTGTAGGTCTTTAAGTAGTGGTAGAATAATAATTTTTCATTTAATTTACTTCTTTATTTATATTTTTAAAGCATGTCTATTCAGGACTCTAAATTAGATTTCTGAGTATGGGATCTTGGGATTATTTATGAGACTTTGTTTGCTCAGACTTGCACACATTCTATACTTTTCATTCCTAGTTCAGTCCTTTTTATTTTATTATTTATTTTTATTGAAGTATGGTGGACATCCAGTGCTGTTATTAGTTTCAGATGTACAACACAGTGATCTGACGATTCAATTCTATACATGATGCTATGACCACCATGATAGGTTTTTACATTTTTTAGTAGTCAAATTTTATTAATATATTCCTTTATGGCTTCCGGTTTTGATTCTCTGCTTAGAAAGCTCTTCTCCACTCACGATGATAGGAAGACTCATCAAAAATCGCTTCCCAAAACACGGTTTTATGTTTTACATTAAATCTTAACCCAAATGTGATTTAGTAACAGAACAATATTTATTGAGCTCTTACAATGTGACAGAGAGGAGACAAACAGGATGCAGTTTATCTTTCCCCTAAATTCTCAGATCTACTTTTGGACTTTGTTTTACAGTAAGGCTGACCTTTCTTTTGCTGAACCCGTTGCAGGCTGCTTTAGTTGTACAGCTTTTAACATCTTTATTCTCGGGCGGCCTAACTCTGCCTTCGCTAATTCTCCTCCATACAGTTTTCCTTCTCTCTGCTTATCCGTAAAAGACCACAGAGCCTAACAGTGAAAAGTCAAACCCCAGCTCAGCATTTTAAAAACAGGCAACCAGGGGCACCTGGGTGGCTCACTGGGTTAAGCGTCTGACTTTGGCTCAGGTCATGATCTCAGAGTCCTGGGATCGAGCCCCGTGTCCAGTGCTGCGCTCAGTGGGGAGTTTGCTTGTCCCTCTGCCCCTCCTCCTGCTCATGCTCTCCCTCTCTCAAATAAATAAAGAAAATCTTTATTTTTTAAATTTAAATTCAATTAGCCAACATGTAGTACATCATTAGTTTTTGATGTAGTGTTCAATGATTCATTAGTTGCATATAACAAAAAAATAAATAAAAATAGGCAATCAAATTTTGGATATCCACAAAGTTTTAAATCACTCGTCATCCATTTTTAGGGACCTGAGAAAACACTTTCTGTTCCTGTAGGGTAAAGTATAATTAACTATTTTAAAGCATTTAAATTTAAGTGCTTAGTTAACACTGCCCATGTTGTTCATACTACTGGTGTACCTTCACCATAGAAAACAGCCACTTGGAAGGAGAAACAGTGAAAGTGGCAGTTGAGCAGTTCTATTCATCTAGACCGCAAATGTATTCATCTTTCTAGTGCTGATGATGGTTAAAAAAAAAAAAAAGATGGGATTCTTGGATATTTCTCCAGGTGCTTTAGGCTATGGATTACCGTGAGTGGTAAAAAGGGTATGCATTTATCCCAACAGAAATAGTCATTAAGAATTTAGGTACTTAGGTTATGCAAAACCAGTACAGTGAAGTGAATCTGGATGAATTATCTGATCAGTCTTATCAATGCACAAAATCCAGGGCAAAAGCTACCACAGGGTCTCATATGTTCAAACAAGGCATGTGGACCAAGGTGAGTGATCAGATAACTCCCTGATCTTTGCTTCAGTTTGAAATGTGCAGCCATAGTGTCAGGCTTCTTCTCCCCAGGTAAATGGTAGTGTAATTGCTTCTGCGGGTGTGTGGGAGGGAGGGAGAGAGAGAAGCAGGGGTGAGGAGGGGGAGAACGCACTGAAAGCCTGAGTGATTTCAGAGTTACATGCTGCCCTGCGTATCTAATCTAGGACACACGGGAGGCTCTGAGACTCAGGGGAAGAGAAGTTAGCAGGTAGCCAATTTTGTGGGGGTAAAATCTATAGAGGCTCTGCCTGCTATTTGGGAAATTCTGTGTTTACTGTGATTCCTAGTCGCTCTAATATTGAGTGCCTCTCTTGCAAAATTATGTCAGCCGACCATTTATTTTCCTCCCAAAGGCACTTTATACTTCTGAGTGATCGCTATTATATAATTATGGTATATTCTGGAAAAGCTCCTCAGCCACGCGAGACAATGTGTGCCCAGCGCACGTATGACCTAGCGGCCCAACAGCAGGAGCACTCTGTATTTTTAGCGCTCCCTTTCCCAGGAGAGAGCTCAGTTGCCATTATCTAATTTGGTATATGCAGATAGTAAAGGATCAAGACAAAAGTGCAGGAAGCTAAAAAAATGTTTAATAGCCAGAAAATCCTTGACTTGTAAATTCAAAACCAGGTTGTTTAAACACGGCATTAAGACAATGTCTAGGACACCAACAGAGTGTTAGACATTTTACAGAGCATCAGCCCCGTTCCTCCCTGTGCAGCTCGGAGGGTGGTAACATCTCTCCCAGGTTCATGTGATAAAAAATCCTTTTTCAGTTCTCTGTATCCTCTACAGAGGGCCTTTTAGAATTTAGGCAATAATAAGAAAAGGCTGCGGTATTCCCTTTGGAGATATTTTCTATTTATTTACTGAATATCTTTTTTTTATAGTCAGCTTCTGATTATCATCTGTTCTTGTGACATAATGTATGTAAACTGATCTTAAAAACTGCAAAGTATCATATAAATGTAAAAAAAGCTTTTAATAAACACAGATGTAAAAATCATAAAGCATTCACAAACAGAATCTAAAAATATGGCGCAAGAATCTTCACGACCAAGTGGAATTTATTTAAGGAATGTGAGGGTGATTTAACATTAGAAAATACATTAATGCTTTTTAATACATTAACGAAGGAAAGGAACAAAGCATGTGATCATCTTGTGTAGCTAGCTGTCCTTCAATATCTCGTCTCTTTCTCACCTCTAAGTGTGTTAGCTAGGCACAGGCTGACCAGGAAGAGTGTTAATCCCTTGACTCCCCTGCAGCTGTAGATGTGGCCATGTGATTAGTATTTGGCCTCTGAGATGTGAATGGGGATGACGTTTGCCACTCCGGGGTCTTATCCACAAAGGACTGAGTATGTGTTCCCCAGATTGTCTCCCCCTTTCCCTGACTTCAGCTAGAGAGATGTGGAACAGCAAGCTTCCTAGACAAGGAAGCCACACGTTGAGGATGGCACCCATTCTTGATTCTTATTAAGAATAGTATAAGGAGGGCGCCTGGGTGGCTCAGTTGGTTAAGTGACTGCCTTCGGCTCAGGTCATGGTCCTGGAGTCCCGGGATCGAGTCCCGCATCGGGCTCCCTGCTCGGCGGTGAGTCTGCTTCTCCCTCGGAACCCTCCCCCCTCTCGTGCTCTCTCTCTCTCTCATTCTCTCTCAAATAAATAAATAAAATCTTAAAAAAAATGTTTAAAAAAAAAAAAAAGAATAGTATAAGGAAATGTCCTTAATGTGATAAGGATCTTCCAGAAGAAGCACATTAAATGGA